ACAACAACACACCAAAACCCTACGCTCACAACCACAACAACACACCAAAACCCTACTCACAACCACAACAACAAACCAAAACCCTGCGCTCACAACCACAACAACAACACACCAAAACCCTACACTCACAACCACAACAACAACACACCAAAACCCTTCGCTCACAACCACAACAACAACACACCAAACCCTTCGCTCACAACCACAACAACACACCAAAACCCTACGCTCACAACCACAACAACACACCAAAACCCTGCACTCACAACCACAACAACAACACACCAAAACCCTGCGCTCACAACCACAACAACACACCAAAACCCTCACTCACAACCACACAACAACACACCAAAACCCTTCGCTCACAACCACAACAACAACACACCAAAACCCTTCGCTCACAACCACAACAACACACCCCACGCACAACCACAAAAAACAAACCAAACCCTACGCTCACAACCACAACAACACACCAAAACCTTCGCTCTTTAATGCACACATTCTCTTTTAATCCCTCCAACAAACCTCAATCGTGGATAAAATGGATAAAATACTCCACATGATACACGGAAATGGATTCTTTAATGTCAAGGAACGAGTTTGTTACATATTTATTTAACCGGCGACAAGAAGTTGGCTTCGGGTCGGGTGTCGGGGTGGTTGACTTTTTGTAATTATGTTGGTGACAGAGGAAGAAGAAAGAGGAGAAGAGGAGGGAGAAGAGAAGGAGAGGAGAAGGAGGAGAGAGGATAGAGAGGAGAGGAGAGAGAGGGAGAGAGAGTAGGAGAGAAGAAGAGAGGGGTAGGAGAGAAGAAGAAGGAGAGGGAGAGAGAGCAATAGAAGGAAGGAAGTTATTTAAGAGAAAGAGAAGGAGGGGTAGGAGAGAAGAAGAGAAGAGAGGGGCGTAGGGAGAGAAGAGAATGAAGAGGAGGGGGAAAGGGGGAAAGAGGAGGAAGGATTATAGAGAGGGAGATAGAGGAAAGAGACAAGGAGGGATAGGAGAAGAGGGAAGGGAGGAGGAGAAGAGAAGGAGAGGGAAAAGAGCATTTGATGGGGAGAAGAGGGAAAGAGGATGGGAGAGAAGAGAGGAGGTGAGTGAAAGAAAGAGAGCAACAGAAAAAAAAAAAAGACGATAAGAAAGAGACAATATTTAAGAGAGAGGGAGGAAGGAGAAGAGCATGGGAAGAAAAACAAAAGAGAGAAAAGGGATAAGAAAAAGAGAGGAGACAAGGGAGGATAGAGGCAAAAGGGAGGTAAAAGGGGGAAGAGACAAAGGAAGAGGCAAATGGAGAGATAAAGCGAGGAAGAGGCAAAGGAAGAGGTTAAAAGAGGAAGAGAATAAAACGAAAAGGGAAAAGAGGCAAAGGAAGAGGTTAAAAGAGAGGAAGAAGAAATTAAACGAAAAAAGGGGGAACCAGAAGAGAAAGACCACAAGAAAGACCACGTACCAGTCTCCCTCGAAGTCCCACGCGCACCGCATATCTCACCCCCCCCCCCTCTAATCTCCCAACCCTTAATCCTTTTCTGAGCACGAATTTACGTTCCCCTAAAACCCCCACATCTTACACCTTCCCCTACCCCCACCATTTCTGAGCACGAATTTACGTTCTTCAAGACCCCCACATCTTTACACTTCCCCACCCCACCCCACCCCCAAACCCACCCCCTTTTTTGCAACCCGCCCAACAAAGGAGCAACAGCAATTCACACAGTGCTCGTGCTGAATACCCTCAAATGATCATGCAAATTAGCAACATATAAGCACTCTGTCCACCATCGCATGCAACCCATGATCACCTGAGACAAGAGACCGCATGATAAAAGAGGGAATAGATAAGAGAGGATAATCCTGGAAGTGGGATAAGGAGAATAGAGAAGGGAATAAGCAGATGATGAATAGATAAGAGAGGATAATTCTGGAAATGAGGTAAGGAGGATAAAGAAGGGAATAAGCAGATGATGATAAAGGAGGGAATAGATAAGAGAGGATAATTCTGGAAGTGGGATAAGGAGAATAAAGAAGGGAATAAGTAGATGATGATAAAGAGGAATAGATAAGAGAGGATAATCCTGGAAGTGGGGATAAGGAGGATAAAGAAGGAAAACAGATGATGATAAAAGGAGGAAATAGAAAGAGAGGATAATTCTGGAAGTGGATAAGGAGGATAAAGAAAGGGGAACATGAGAGTGATGAGGACGGGCAATTAGATAAAATGAGAGAAGCAGAGGAAGCGTAGGGAGAGACGAGAGAAGAAGAATGGAAGGAAAGACAGAAAACAAACTGAGGAGAAAGTGACAGATGGGACATAGATAAATATAGAAGAAAAAAAAGAAGAGAGAGAGGAACCGTAAATATACGAACAGATTAGCGTCACAGATAGACATATATATATTTATACATATATATAATATTATATAGTATATATCATATATATATATATATATTATATATTATATATATATATATATATATATATATAGATATAATTAAAGATATATAGAGAGAATGAGGAACCGAAAAAATAGATAACAGATAGAGTGACATATATACACAGATATATCGACAAAAAAAGAAAGAAAAAAAAAAGAAGTGAAGAACAGTTGACCACCAACATCATCTTAACCTTGAGTCAACCGAGATAGAGTCATCAGAGGTCAAAGTTCTCTCGGGGAGAATAATTGCAAAGGTGGAGTGCAACAGCGCTTTGGCATAAAAAAGCTTTGCAATAATGTTTAATGTTTTGTTTGTTTTTCAGCGTGGGGTAATTAGATAATGGGAGGTACTTTGTCACTGGTTTGACAGGGAATGCAAGGGAAAAGATTAATGTTATTATCATTTTAAAGGGTAAACAACACATGGTAATTATCATTGAAAGGGTAAACAACACATGGCATTAAAAGGAAAATAAAAAGATGAAGAACAAAGCAGAGGTTAAAAATGAAGGAAGGAAAGAGAATCCCAAAGGAAGAAAAACAAAGCAGAGGAAAAAATTGAAAGGAGGAAAGAAAATAACAAAAGAAGGCAGACAAAGAAAAAAACAAAAAACAACAGGATTCGTCTAACAATTTTCAGTCGAACACAAACCATCTTAGTCTAATCAAAAACTAAGAGAGAGAGAGAGAGAGAGAGAGAGAGAGAGAGAGAGAGAGAGAGAAGAGAGAGAGAGAGAGAGAGAGAGAGAGAGGGAGAGA